CCTGGAATTGGCTACATCTTGTCAGAGGAATTTTGAAATTGTGCAGCTGTTATCCCACGACTAGAGATGTCCCTTCCCTTCCACTAAAAATACATTCATTACTGCTCCAGGCAAACAACCCCCCCCCAGCTTCTCCCTCCCTCTTACCCTCTGGGGATTCCCATGCAACAAACTTTACAGGCTTAGGAACAGCGCTTAACCCAAGCAGCCTGCTGCTTCCCAGCTGCGGTGTGTCGCGCTGGCAGCAGGAACTCTCAGCCCGTCAGTGCATTTCCATAACGCCTCGCTCAGTATCTCCAGGAGGTAAGAGTGAGAGCTCACAGCATCGAGTGACAGTGTGTGGCACTATGCTGGCCAGGAACCCACTGAGGAGAGACTTGGGAGAGCTTCATTTCTAGAACCCACATGAGACGCCGCCAGCTGACCTGGTTGAGGTTGGGTTACTGCCAGATAGATTCTCCTGGCTGCCTTCTGGCTGCCCACTCAGGGAGCTCCTCAGGCTGGCACTGAGGAGTTTGTGTACCTGGCTAGGTGTCTTCCCAGGCTCACAGCAGCCAGGCCAAAGCTGCTGTCTGTCCCCCCAGTGCTCTGGGTAAGTGGTAAGTGCAGGGCTTTCAGGAAGCATCACGTACAGCACGAGCTGCTGGCACCCCTATGGAGGAGAGGCAGCCTGCCAAAAGGAGCTGCTCACACTGACAGCCCCTGTGCTGCACAACTGGCGAGCGGCTTTGTGGCACATCTGAGGTGTCCAGGCAGCACTGGACTGTCTGTGCACGAGCTCTTCTTGTGCTTCATGGTTTTTAACAAATCACTACAAACGCTGTTCACTCGGCACATCCCCCCGGTGCCTGATGCTGCTGCAGTCACAGGGGGCAAACAGGAGGAGGATATTCTGTCCCTACTGCATGCGACTGGAAACAAGATGCTGACAGCCCCAGCTCACCTAGGAAGTCGTGAGCAAGAAACCAAACCTAGACCTTCTCATGCACCACCTAAACAACTCTTTCCCACGACTCTCAGTCAAGAAACTTCCTCCCGTTATCAAGTGTAACTGATACTGGTGTGTGGCTACGCTGTGGGGACAGGATGGGGGAGTCCCACAGATGGGCACGGGGCCCCCAGTGGCAGCAGGCAGGCTGCTCACTGCACAACCAGCTCCCAGACTACAACCTTGGCAGCAGCAAGTTCCACTTGAAGCCACAAACAAATAGCACTGCTTTCAAAGCCATGCCCATGGCTGTTCAAAGGAAGAAGGGAATTATTCTTTCATATTAGATTGGATCTGGCCATACTGGCCAAGATATGGGCCCATGTAGGAAATGCTTGGTGTAAGGTCAAAAGACTTACAGTGAGCAGGGAAAGACAGAAGGCCAGTGGCACTCAAAGCAGCAACGAAACATTAAGTCACCGATTCACTGAATCAGATGCTCAGATATGCCTGTTTGAGGAAACAACCCTTGAGAATTAAAGGAACTGCTAAAACAGACTGTTCTCAGTACAAAGGTCCCTTCTGAGTCCTAGACTTTATTCAGGGCTTTTATCCATCTCTCCATTTCTTCCCACCCCGACTTAGAGAAAGCAATGCTTCACGCCCAGCTCCCTTAGCCCCTGGCAGAAAAGCAACCTGTCACCCCACTGCCAAGCCAGAGCTGCAATTTCAGTCCCCACTACACGGGATAAACGTGGCCCGATGCTCCAAGTGTCAGGAAGCTGCACCTCAGCAAGACTTTCCCAGCAAAGCATCCCAGAGTCAGCTCTGAAGTACTTTCCCTCAGAGGAAAAGCTCTCCAAGTTCCTGTAGCTGGCACCAAATGGCAAGCACACGGACTTATGCCTCAGGCGAGCACCTGAAGCCAGCACACAGAGCAAGCAGCAACCTAAGAAAACTTTTCCATTTGGCTGCAGGAAGAAAGAACTCCTCTCTTTGCATCAGAGCTACCTGTCCTTCACCACGGGAACGTCTGCACCACAAGTGCATGCACGAGAGCACGTGGCTGGGCACAGCGCCCTCGCAGCACTTCCTGGCACCAAAGAGCCTGGAAAGTGGCAATTGTTCTCAGCCCGTGACTTCATCCTGGAGCTCCGACTCACAGCCAGTTTTGTTCAGAACACCCAGGGGTTTTATATCAGCGACCACAGGTTTTCAGGTACCTGCCATATTAGGGAGACACTGTGTATTTAATGCTACACCGAACAATGGCTCGGGCTCACTTCCTTGGGAGTGCTTTATTGCTACTTTCAGAGTGCTACACTTGTACTAATCCTGGCAGCATTCTGCAAAGCATTTGGGAACTGCCAGAAAGTTTTTCAAATTCTGCACAATGTTTTAATTATTTGAAAGGCATAACCCACAAGACATTCTCTAAATAGGGTTGTTTTTTTTTTTTTTATATGTTTATGTTTTTAGCTATGCGTATCCTTCCTCACTGCATTTTTTGGGGAAAGGTTCTTTTATCCACTGAAAAATCACTCCATACATAACACCAGTTATTTACTGAGGTGTTCAACACTAAACAGAATCAGAAATCCCACTCTTGTTTCCTTAATACAGTTTATTTGTGTTGAAACAGGTATCCATTGAGACATGGATATCTTTCTTAGGACAAATTAGATATTAAAAAGTTGAAGAAAAATAGGTTTGGCCCTTTTTCATTTCTCTAGAATACACACAAGAAGTCTATTTATTTTTAAGAGAATTTATCAAAATAGTATTGGGAATGCCTCGTTACCTTTTCTGTCCTCTGAAAGGAGAGAAGTACTCCCAGACATTAAAGGATGGGGCAAAAACATTGCATTCTTAGTGGCAGAATTTTCCTTCCAATCATTTGACGCACTTTTGAGACAATCAGGTGTTAGAAAAATAAAAAAACAGAAGAGGATGTGAGCAGTCTGAATCATACCACATTTCCCTCTTCAGCTAATCAGCTTTCACTTTCTCAGTGTGTCAGAACCTATAAATCTAACGTTCGTTCATCCATAAATTCTTCTGAGGAAAAGAGAATTGACAACTTCTTCATTCCTACTGTAAAAGGACAAACCAGTACAGGACAAGGAGGGGGAAGAACCCATGGATCTACCTGTCGGTTTCTATATCCAATAAACTCCACGGTTTCTGGAGTGGAAAAGGGTGTGTTCTGTTTTTTCAACAACAAAATAGTGAAACAGGTACACTGCCCAGCACTGGTGCAGTCAGATTTTACTAAAAGACTCTACTGTGGCTATTCCAGGAAATTAAACTGCAAAGACAATATAATTAGAATAGTACCAAAAACGGGCAGAAATCCAGATTTCTAAAATCCTTTTCCTGGCAAGATATCCTCTTAACAGTATGAATGCTTAAACTGTCAGCACAAGTTTTCAGAGTTAACTTATGAGAGATGAGTTGAAGACATCAGACCTTTTCAAAATCATTTCAGAGGCAAGCTACCAAAGGCTTCTCTACACATGCTTCTTTGTACTATTTATCAGTACATTGGGGTATGACCTGAAAACATCTACCTATATGTAGAAATGCAAAAAAGTGGAGACAGTCCAGTTTATAAGTATATTGATAGAGCTTTCCTCTGCAATGGAATGGAATTGTTATTCCTTACAACTGCCCTAAAGCAGAGGCTGTAACACTTAAAACTGTAAGCTTGGAAGCCAACAATTAACGGTAATGTTAGAGCAGCACGAGCATGCTGGGACAAGCCTTCAGGAAAGACTTTGCTGCACTGGTCCACATGGAAAGGTAATCTCCACAGCCCTAGGGAAAAGAATGCTTTCTATTTTTGAATGGGACGTCTGTGTTCATCAGCATAAGTGCTGGATGACCAAAGTACTCACAAGAGACAAAACCAAACTGGACAGCTCGACACACGTGATTTAAACTTGACAGGAGAGAGGAGATCCAAAACCTCAAACCTGAGAGCATAATAATCGGAAATTTGTTCTGTTTTTGCAGCTACATTTCTTTTTCAGCAGGATAGGAAGCAAGTCTCTCCATTTGTGAGAGCACGCTGCATCCTCCTAAGGACGAGAGAGGAAGGAAGGAGACTCCTGTATGCTCTGCCAGCGCTGGCCTCTCTTGGGGCTCTCTCTGCATCTCTCAAGCTTGCTGAACAACTTGCAAGTGCTGTCACAAAGCCTTTAATTCAAACCCAGCCCACAACACGTAGTGCTGCTCTGCACCCACAGGCAAACAAACCCCATCACAACAAAGTGCTTCAGGGAGGCTGAGCTGAGTAGCAGCCCCTGTGCATGCAGCAAAACTTCCCCTTGTCCCACATCAGCCTCCCTGGTTGCACACCAAGTCGCAGCCAGTCTTATTCAGCTTTCAAGCTCTAGGAAGAGAAGGACATTTAACTCCAGGGTGGAGAGCACAGAATAACCACCTTCAGGGCTGGAGTGGGGACAAGCTCCTGCCTGGGCCTAACACACACTTTGTGTGCAGATGCAGCTGGAGCTAGTCCAAGCTTCTTCATGGCATGCTGCCTCTCCTCCCTTCACATTTAATGGACCCAAAGGGAAAATCCCCATCCATACCCTCCTACAAGCCTGCTCCACCAGCTGCAGGCAGAGTTCCCCGTTCTCCCCAGTAGGAAGAAGACAAGCTGACCTCAATCCCCTTTCTGTCCCCACCACGTATTGTTCTAGCTCCACTTTCCCACTGCGATCCTTCCGGTGCTGTTGGCCGTGGCTCAGAGCACAGGTTATTGAGGTTATAGCAAAATCCTGTCTAAATATGGAACGGCAGCTCCTAGGCAGCACCGTTGCAAAGCCGTGGACACAGGCTACGTGAGATCAGGGAATAACAGGAAAAAGAAACAACCAGAAAATCCAGCAACCAAGGTAGGCCCCTAGAAACATGGGCTTTGCTGCCCCCGCCAAATTACAAGGGACAAAGCAATGCTGCTCATTTAACTTTCCCCTCCTCAGCCCACCTTCAGATCTGCTGCTTTTACTGATGCTCGTTCCTCGCCACAGTGCCCCCTCTGCCTCCCAGCCCATCCCGTGCTTACCTGAGGGGTATGCGGATCGCAATGATTCTGTCGATGGCGATAGCAAGGAGGCTGAAGATGGAGCTCTGAGTCAAGACCAGGACGAAGCAGGCAATGAAGAGGCAGCCATAGAAGAAGGCACAGAAGCCAGTGCTGATGGTGATGGCAAAGGGGATTGCCAGCACTCCCACCGCAATGTCAGCAGCAGCCAGGGACACCACGAAGTAGTTGGTGACGTTCTGCAGGTTGCTGTTCAAGTAGACTGCCCAGCAGACCAGGATGTTGCCCAGGATGGCCAGCACCGCAATGACCAGTTCCAGGATGATGTAAGCTATGTCTGAGAGGAAGTCTTCCTTCCCATGTACTAGCATGGTGAGAGCGACCAGGCCAACGTGAGAACGTGCCAGAAAAGCTCAGCGTTCATATCTGCAGAGCACTGAACAGCCAAGACACCTCAAAGCTGTCCGGGGTCTGAAGAGCGCTCAGCTGCCAGCCGCCGAGGGTGGCTCACCCTCACACCTTTCTCCACATGGCTGCCGAAGATCTTGGCAGGAGCAGGTGTAAAGAGAAGAAAACAGGGCCTGCCAACTCCAGCCAAGTGGATTAACCAGATGTAGAGTAATTCAAGCTCCAGCAGATGAATGGACAGGAGAATACCTCACGCAGCCAAACACTGCTTCCCAGGCCCCAAAGTCCGGCAGGCAACACGACACAGCAAGTATGCTGGATGGCAGCGTCACATCGGCTGTGAATTTTTGTTTCCTGTTGACAATCACACTGCTAGTCATGGCTTCCTGTCATACACACCATCCTCTGGTTCTCTTTTTCCCTTTTTCTGCCCAGGACTTGGGAAATATTCTCTTCAGCTGAAGCAAACATTCAACTTCTTCTGTAGTTTCCTTTAAAGAAAATAATAATAATAACAATAAACAAACAAAAACCACATACGCTAAGTAATCAGCTCCACGGCGGAGATGGAAAAAGCAAAATCTCATTAAAGTGGCACATTAAATTGATAACGGATATTAAACAGACCTAGAAGAATACATCATTGGCAAAAGTCTCACATTTTGTCTATCCTGAAAGCTGCAGGGCCAGGCCCAAGGTTCAGGAAGGCAGTATTTCACAGCGGTGATGAGAAACAAGGGACGTTTTGTTTTCGAGGCTACCAACTGAGCTGGCACTTCAGCAGCTGCTCACTAGTCTGCCCTGAAACATGAGAGCCCCATTAATTATGCCCTGGCAAGCGCCGTGGCTGCAGGGAGGCAAGGTGGAGGAGCCTTTTTACATACACCTGTCTCCCTCCAGTCCCAAACCCAGCACTGGGCCATCACGTGCTGCCCACCCTCACGTACTTAGCCACAGAGGCATGCTGCACAAATATGCTGCTCTGCGATGACACGAACATTCGTTCATTCACAAGGGCATGATGCTGCTGGCATGTGTTCACCCTGTTCTCGTACCTGCTTTTTTCCTCCGAGTCCACAGATACTGAAACACAATCAGCAGCAGGGAAAATAAATAGTTCAAGGCACCCCAGAGAGTACTTATCAGTACTCTCCTGCTGAGAACAGACACCCTTTACAAGGGTCTCTTTAGGTTCCTCTCCTGCAACACCATCTTTTTGCTCACATAAATATTCACCCTACAGGCAAGCCATTTTATTTGCTATGCCTCTATTGTACATAACGTCTTTCTGCATCCTCACATTCTGATACGCTTTATAGATAAGGTCAGCTTGATTCTTTGACCAGCCAGAAACACACCCAAGACGTACCCCTCCCAGAAACACACACAGGCACAACGCCACCAGCATCTCCTGGAGCACACGTTCACATTCCTGCATCATACACACAAACCTGGACTCAACACGGTGCCGTCTGCAGGGAAATCCAATCCCTCCAGCTGCCATTTCACAGGAACAGATACACATCGTCTACATGTGCATGTGCCTCATTTGCACACTGATCTTGCAGGTCACCTCACATCTCTGCTTTCAGGTGTGTTTCACCCCAGTCTCAGGTAAAAATATAGCAAGAGAATACAGTGCCCTGAGCTTCGTTGCACAGTGAAGAGAATTGTTTGCTGTCTTATCCTGTTATTCCAGAGTGGGTTTTAAACCTTGTTTAGCAGACTTTAGTAGAAATATATTTTCTCACTAATTTAAGAGAACAGCAACTTGAAACACCAGAGTTGGGAAAGAGAGACATTGCACTAACTGAAAAATGACTCAGTTTCAGAAGCAGCATGCGCCTCCAAACCGAAAGCTTTTTGGTACCTCATCCACAGCTGACCTGCTGTGGTCTAACCCACTGGAGTTTCATGCCTTCACAGTTCACTGTTTTGAATTCAGAAACCTAATTTCACAGGACAAAATAAAAGGGTAAAGACAGCGATAATAAATGAAAATATGATTAACTCGTGATTCACATCTGATCTCAGGAATATAATCTAATTTTAGACCTTTCATTGATTTAGAGCTCTATTGCTAATGCTGCATTTGAAAGGAAAGTGAATGGCTCTTGGTGGTTTGGATGTGTTTCAAAAACCTAGCTTCTCTCCACCTTCAACAATCTTCTGTATGTGTTTTGTTCGGTTTGTGTGGAAGAAATGAACAGAACAGATTAGTTTGTGATATAGCTATTAAGAGGGAGATAATGATCATCCATTTAATCTTTTCTAAAGAACAACAACAACAAAAAACAAGTCTCTACATTATCTTTTTAGCAAAAACCCTGTTTGTCACTGACCTCCCATAGATTGTTTCATTGTTTCTACCTTCTGAAATTCCAGGGATGTCAGCAATGTGCTCCTACATCACTTCTACAGCATCTGATTGTCCATTTCAAATCCCAATAGGTTTGTTTCAAGGCAGCAATAATGAAAACTCCCCAGCCCGACTTCCAGAGAAGGAGATTTGAGTTAATATCAGATAGAGACAAAGAAAATTGGGAGGGAAAGAAAACAAAGGGCAAGATGAAAGCTAAACTACAACGCTTCATGTGCAAGAGCAAGAAAGGGGCTGGTGGGGGAGAAGGCAGGAAAAAGGTGGCAGGAGCCAAAAAAACAAACAAGGGAAGCAGTGGGGAAAAACAAGTCCGTAAGAGAAACACCATGCACGTCCATCAGATGAAGGCTCTAACTGGTTCGGGCTCCCATTTTGTTTAACCTGACTCTTTCACTGGCTCGTCGCAAACATGTTTTCCAATAGGACATGGAGTGAAGCAGCAAACCTACACAGCAGAGGTCCCCCTCATGGCAATCATTCAGCACAAAGAGGAAGCTGGATTACTGACAGCTCTCCACATAACCTGAAAAAGCACAATGCTGGAATATGAAATTTGATGACCACATCACAAACTGTTCTCTAGCACTGCAGTTTTTAACCTTCTCCTTCAACTGTGTGCTTCATGGCCTGATTTTAACTTTTTAATATGGCTTTGAATTTGTTTGGTCCCATTTCCCATCCCCCTTCACAAACAGTGGCCTGACAGTTGAGCCCCAGCTCCAGCTATTTATCCCGAGGCAAGCTGTGAGATGTTATGCCCAGAAGAGGACAACATGTCCTTCCACCCCACTCTGCTCCCAGATGGGCTGGAAAACACTTAAGAGTTCTGCAGAGCCAGCACATCTCAGAAGAGAAATGACCAGAGCTGAGCAGGTGTCCCAGCCACGACCGAACAACATTTTGTGTCCGCTTCACTTCAGCGCCAGAGCTTCTGCAGAAGCAACTGCTGTTAGAAGCAGGAATTATTATTATCAGCCACCCAACGCAGCACGTCAGGGGCCTCACTCGCTGCTTACAGAAGGTGTCACCACCCACGAGGTTCCCGTATTTGGCCCAAGCTTCCCTCTCGTTTTATTCACCTCTCGCAATGTCAGCTTGCTGCAGCCTTTACCCAATGTGATGAGACTCAAATTGCAGACACATTTGCCACTTGCTTTTAAACAAGTACAGGTCCAGTCTTCATGTGTATATGACTAGAAATTTACTGCACAGAGACAAAATGAAATGCAGACCACCTAGAAAAGAAGACATACCCAGAGGCAATACAGAATTTATTATAGAAGCATCTACTTCATGCACGACCCAAAGGCTCAGCAACCAGGTCTGACAATACAAAATTAATTAACAACTTGTTTTACTCACTGGGGAAGTGTATATTTAACAGCTCAGGCCCTTCAGGGATCAATATGGCAAGCCTCCTGAAACTTCAGGAGAATAACCTGTATCACACAACATGCTGGACAGCTACGATTAGTATTTCTACTCAAGCTCATGTTTTGTTTTGTTAATTAGATTAATTCTTCCTTGATACCTTGGGCTATGTTCCGGCTTTCTCCCCATTATTAAATAAACCTTTCTTGCCACTCACGAACCTGTAAAGCTGTTGCTCTGTTCATTTTTAGTGACTTGGAACACTCTGTTCTCTCCCATATTTCAGCCTCAGTGAAAAACTGCTCCTTGAAAATTCAATAAAGCATCTGAACAGCATGTTCCCATGGAGCAATTCAGCACTGGAGACCAAGCAAGCTTTTGTTTGGCATCTCCAGTTGGCTTTGGACAAAGGTGTTGCCCCTTCACTCTCCTGAGCACCAAAAGATCAAGGTGAGCCTTTGGCCACTGCTTGCTTCCAACCACCCACCTCGAACAAACTCCTTCCCAGCACTTGGCCTCTTCATGCTGAGCTCAGGCACCTCAGCTTTGGCTTCACGCTGGGAAGATGATGTGCCCTCCACACCACGTGCCAGACACATGACACGTCTGTGACACTTAGTTTGACAGCTATTCTTACATATTAGCAAAATCTCCTGGGGTACAACAGTCCACAAGGCACTCAAGACATCTATGGGCATGTAGGTGACAGGCGGCAGTGTCCCCAGCCTCCAGAAAGGATTGGTTTCTCCTCGTCTGCTTCAGGATGGTGCGAGCAAGGCAGCAGCACAGCAGGCAGCTCGGAGGCCACGGGGGAGTCTTCACCAAGCCCCATTCCACAGATCACAATCTACATCTCCTGACAACATGACCCTTCCCAGGTACCAGCCACGTACACATTACCTAGCTCCCTTAGGGAAAATCCTTGCATTCACACGTGGCTGCAAGCAGAGAAGTAGTGCTGCTACATCGTTTCCTACTTTCCAAAGCCTGGAGGGGGAGATGCTTGTCAGTTTTTATGCTCTCAAAGCCCTTCAGCTCAAAGAGGATCTCACTATCTTTTCAATCCAGGTTTCCAAGAAACCTCGCCTCTCCCCATTTCTTCAGAGGATCGAGTCACAATAAACAAGTCAATGTGCACACAGGCACTACACAAAAAGCTCACTGCAAACAGTGAAAATAGCTATCCTTCAGGGGAGAACAATGTGAATGGCAGCAACACTTTCCAGCATTGCCTCCTGGTTTGCTTTCTGAAGTTTCGTATTTTATAGTTCAGAGAAGCTTCCCCATAACCCTAACTGGTCGCATGAGCCCGGTGTGCTGGGAGCTGTTGGAGAGCAGCCTCTCTGCCTCCCTGCCCTACTGAAGGATGGAGGGACATTACAGCATGAGGCAGGAAAGAGAGCAGGATGGAGGCATCACCCTTCTCACCATGACACAATTTTTCTGATTTCCCTATTCGCTTGATTATTGGCTGCTGGCTACATGACCTTTAGGTCATCTGCTTTCAGTAATAGGAGGAAATTAAATATTAATAATAGACTATTTCCCTCTAGACTGCTCTTTGTTAACAAAGAATACAAGTGAAACAAAGCAGGCAAAATTATCATCACTCCATGCTCTTGGTTTTCAGATACCTGGAGCACTTGCAGTTTCCCTCAGGCTTCCCTGGAGTTGGAGCCACCCAGTGTCCTGGCACACCTGCCTGAGGGACACCCACACAAGGGCAGATCACGGCAATGA